TTTTCAAAAGACTCGTCTTACTGCAAACATAATACATTTTCTTTTTGCCATAGAAAAATTAGAAGATAAAAAATTAAAAGGTAGGGAATAAAGAACTTAGTAATCAATATCTTGATAACGAGTTTCATGAATCTTCTTACTTCTTTTACTTTTCACTCAAATATTTTTATCAGAGGCAAAGGAAACCCTAGGGGTGTGGAGGCATAACCTGAAGAGGGCATGGCCTAACACCTCCATTTGCTCTAAAGTTTTAGGCAATTTTGCATCCTACTTCATAATATTGTTACTGTACCAGTGATGTGTATTTGGGGGGAATGTCTACAGTGTTTATCCTGGGCTTTGTATGCCCCTTGTCACAGGGCCAAGTATCACAGCTTGAGAAGCAGAGTTCATATTTTTTCTTTGGTTTATTCATTGAGAAAATATTCAGTGAAGGGACGCCAGGCTGGCTCAATTGGTAGAGCATGTGACTCTTGATCTCAGGGTGGTGAGTTCGAGCCCCATGTTGGGTATAGATTGTAAACAAACTTAAAAAATGTATATTCAGTGAAGACCTGCCTTATGTGTGACCCTGTGCTGGTAATGTATCAGAGGCCCTGGTCTGCAATGAAGTATGAAAACCTACAGCAGTACTAATGCAAAGGAAGAAGGATATAGTAATTAACTCTTTCTTGAGATCAGATATAGAATCTTGAAATAAATGTGTCTCACCTGAATTTTGAAGAACTAAAAATCTGAAAGTACAGCTGAACTTTGAACAATGCAGGCACCAATTCCCCTGCAGTTGAAAATCCAGGTATAACTTTTTTTTTCAAGTATACTCTTGACTCCCCAAATTCTTTTAACTCATAGCCTACTGTTGATCAGAAGCCTTACTACTTATATGAACAGCCAGTTAACACATACTTTGTATGTTTCATGCATTATACACTATATTCTTTTTTTTTTTTAAGATTTTATTTATTTATTTTAGAGAGAGAGAATGAGAGATAGCACGAGAGGGAAGAGGGCCAGAGGGAGAAGCAGACTCCTCACTGAGCAGGAAGCCTGATATGGGACTCGATCCCGGGACTCCAGGATCATGACCTGAGCCGAAGGCAGTCGCCCAACCAACTGAGCCACCCAGGCGCCCTATACACTATATTCTTAACGCTAAAATAAAGAAGATGTTATTAAGAAAAGTATAAGGAAGAGGGTGCCAGAGTGGCATAGTCGGTTAAGCCTCCGACTCTTGGTTTCGGCTCAGGTCATGATCTCAGTGTTATGGGATTGGGCCCTTTGTGGGGCTCCCTGCTCAAGGTAGCGTCTGCATAAGATTCTCTCTCCCTCTGCCTCTCCTCCCCGACCCAGTGTGCACTCTAAAACAAATAAATCTTTTTTAAAAACTGTAAGAGAAAGTACATTTACAGTACAACATTGTATTTATCGAAAAAATTCTGCATATAAGTGGAACCATGCAGTTCAAACCCATGTTGTTCAAGGGTCACCTGTAATGTCAAAGTACATTTTTTTTTTTTTAAGTTAGAAACATGGGGGGCACCTGGGTGGCTCAGTTGTTAAGCATCTGCCTAGGGTCCTGGGATTGAGCCCCACATCTGGCTCCCTGCTCAGCAGGAAGCCTGCTTCTCCCTCTCCCACTTCCCCTGCTTGTGTTCCCTCTCTTGCTGTCTCTCTTTGTCTTATCTGTCAGGTTCCTAGGGGCGCCTGGGTGGCTCAGATGGTTAAACGTCTGCCTTCGGCTCAGGTCATGATCCCAGGGTCCTGGGATCGAGTCCCACATCGGGCTCCCTGCTCCTTGGGAGCCTGCTTCTCCCTCTGCTTCTCTCTCTCTCTCTCTCTCTCCCTCTGTCTCTCATGAATAAATAAATAAAATCTTTAAAAAAAAAAATGTATTTAACTCTATGGAATGAATAAGTCATGAGAATAAAAGGCACACCTAAGGCATATAGTTAATGATAATTGTAATAGCTATGTAACAGGACAGAGGGTAGCTATACCTGTGGTGAACACAGCATAATGTATGAACTTGTCAAATCACTAAGTCGTACACCTGAAACTAATTTAACATTGTGTGTAAGCTATACTCAAAATTTTTAAAAATGTATTTAACCCATTAATGAAGGAACTGGCAAGGTGGTAAAGTTGATCCAAAGTAATATGGGAGAGGAGTACCTTGGCAGGCTTGGTCAGTGGAATGTGCAACTCTTGGTCTCAGGGTCATGATTTGGAGCCCCATGTTGGGTGTAGAGATTACTTAAAAATAAATCTTAAATATATATATGGGAGAGCCTAAAATCACTGAAAGAAAAACTGATGAAATAAGATTGCAAAGTTAGCTCAAAACTGGTTACTGGGATGTGCACTCCTGGCAAAGACAGAGGGACGGGGCCCCGATTTACCCTTCCACCTGAAACAGTAAGAAAGTGGGCAGAAATATATGGGGAGTAAAGGTTTTTAAGACTTTGGGCATCGGACAATGAAGGACACTGATCCCTGGGAGGCAAGATACAAATGAGGTGAGCCCATTGCCCTAGCTTATTGCCTAGAGATCTCCAGGCAGGGCACTGGGAGAAGAAACCTAGGTAGAGCCCAGTAGTCTTGCTGAGTTGAATGTATAGAGCTAGGAGTTCAGGAAGGCCAAGTCAACTAGGACAGAGTACTAGAAATTAGAGAGCTCTGTATATTTCCATAGCTTCCAAGAGCTATGGAAATATACAGAGGATCCTCCTGCAGCCTGCAACTGAATACTAATCAACACATAGGCGTAAGGAAACTACCCAAAAAAATTAGAGGAATTTTCAGAACTCAAACAGCACCAGGGAAGTTCCTGTACCTATCACTGAAAATGGAAAACCCTCATAATCCACAGGACATCAGAATATTCAGAATGATTTTTGACTCCAGAGTGGGTCAAAATTAACCAGAAACTAAATGTAGCTTTGATACTGCCTTAAGTCTAAAAGCAAGACCCAAAAGGATAAAGCTGTTTCCAGATAACTATATCCCAGAAGAATGCTAAATAATACTTTTAGGAGTATTAAAATAGCAAGGACTGTAAAAGGTAAAAAACACATTGTCTGACATCCAATGAAAAATTATCAGGCATACAAAGCAGCAGTATACATCCCACAGTAAGAAAAATCTATAAATTGAAATTAAGCCAGAAATAACCATGAAATTAGTAGAGGACATTAAAGCACCATGTCATATGTTTAAAAAGCTTGAGAAAAGACTGAGCAAATTAAGTAGTAGAGATGTGGAAAATACGTTTTTTAAAAAGACTCAGGTAGAAGAGATAAGACACTGCAGAAGAAAAGATTAGTGAATTTGAAGACGTACCAGTAGAAGAGGAGACTAAAAGCGTGGGGCGGGGGGGGGGGGGGGGGGGGGAAGTAGGACAACTTCACCTAGAGTAATATTCATGAAATTTGAGTCCCCAAAGAGAGGAGGGACAGATCAATGTTTGAAGAAATAATGGCCAAAAATTTTCCAAATTTGTTAAAAACTGTATGAACCCACACATGCAAGAGACTCCATGAACCCCAAGCAAAAGAAACCAGGAAAACTATACCCAGAGGAACAAAGACAATGATGACATCAGATTTCTCATGGGAAATAATGTAAGCAAAATAATAGTAGAGAGACATCTTTAAAATCTTGAAGGGGGTGGAGGACTCTCAACCCAGGTTTCTATACCCAGCAAAAATACCTTTCAAAACTGAAGGTGAAAGGAAGACTTGTTTAGACATACACAAGCTGAAAGAATTCATTAACAGCAGACCTGCACTGCAGGAAATGTTAAAGGAAATCCATCAGGCAGAGGAATATGAAACAGATCATAGATGCAAATGTAAATAAATACAAAGGAATGCAGAGCACCAGAAATAGTAATTATGTGGTTAAATATAAAATACTTTTTTAAAAATACTTTTTAACAGATTTTATTTGTCAGAGCGAGCACAAGCAGGGGGTGCAGTAGGCAGAGGGAGAGGCAGGCTCCCCGCTGAGCAAGGAACCCGATCCCAGGACTCTGGGATCATGACCTGAGCCAAAGGTAGACACTTAACCAACTGAGCCACCAGGCATCCCAAAATATTTATTACCTAAATCGCTGAAAAATTGTTTAAAACAAGTAATATGTATTATGAAGTTTCTAACATGTAGAAGTAAAATATGACAAAAATAGCACAAAGGCTATACAGTACACTCTTGTAAGTTTCTTATGCTCCATGCTATACATGAAGTGGTATAATATCACTTCAAGGTTGAAGGTAGACTGTGATAAAGATGTGTATAGTATAACCTAAAGTAACCAATAAAAACATGCAACGGAGTTCATAAGCCACCAAAGGGCATAAATTAGAATACTAAAAAGTGGTCAGTCCAAAAGTAGGCAGAAAAATAAGGAAAAGGAAGAGAATACAGATGGCATGAATAGAAAAGAGCAAAATAGTAACCACATCAATAATTATAGTAGTCATGTTAAATATAAATGGTCTAAACACTACAGTTAAAAGGTAAAGATTGCCAGATTGGATAAAAAAGCAGGACCAAACTATATGCTACCTAAAAGAAACCCACTTTAAATATAAAGACTGTTGCTATTACCATTTACAAAGAGCTTGAAAGAGGCTATTCTCTCTAAATCAAGTTCTCCTGTCTGGGTAGCAGCACACTTCAGATTGGGCCATCTGTATCATTCCTCTCTCAACATTGTCCTTGCATTAGACTAGTTAGGCTGGTCTCCTTAGAATCACTGCCACACCCCGTGCAGACTCTTGTTTATGTTTCTTTCCCTATGAAGAATTCTTCACCACTCTCAAGTCCTTTCTGCTTTATCCATAACTTCACTTGTGCTCATTCAAGACCAGTTTTGACTGACCTGTTCCATGAGTCAAAGTCAAGCCCCATCATAACTGACAATTATGTCATAGATCACAGAATGTCAGAGGTCTCAAGAACAATAAAGAACTTCTTATCTATTCCCCTTATTTTATAGGTGAGAAAACCATGAGTCCAGTGAGGTTACATGGCCAGCCCAGGTTCATACAAGTTTAGTGGTAAGTTTGTAGTAGGGCCAAAACACATCATTGCTTTCTTTAATTATCTGCCACTCACAATTAAGTACACTTCTTAGGTTATAATTATGATGCATTATAGCATGTGCATAGCGTTAATATTTATGTACATATTTCTTGTGCTTGCCTTATTTCCCAAGTTAAGCTATAATACCAGTAGACACCTTTTTTTTTTTTAAGATTTATTTATTTTAGAGAGAGAGTGCAAACGAAAGGGAGAGGGAGAGAGAGAGCATCTCAAGCAGACTCCCCATGAGTGCAGAACCCAACACAGGGCTCAATCCCAGGACCCTGAGGTCATGACCTGAGCCAAAATCAAGAGTCGGACATTCAACCAACTGAGCCGCGCAGGTGCCCCACCAGTAGACACCTTTAATTAGTATTCTGATGCTTAGAGAAATGCTGGATATATAGGTACACGGGTTATATTTGATAATTATGATATATGATAATTAATAAGCTTAGAGTCTAAATTGACAAGATCACAAACCGTAAGAAGTAATTAATTACTTTCTACCATTTGAAACAAGATGGTTAATTCCCGTCCATAGAGTAGCTAAGATTGGAAATATTTTTTCTGGGGGTGCCTGGGTGGCTCAGTCAGTGGGGCATCTGCCTTCAGCTCAAGTCATGATCTGAGGGTCCTGGGATTGAGCCTCACATCAGGCTCCCTGCTCAGCGGGAAGTCTGCTTCTCCCTCTCCCTTTGCCTCTCCCCACCTCTCTCTCTCTCTCTCTCTGTCTCTCTCTCTCTCTCTCTCTCCCCTCTTCCCTCTCCCTCTTCCTCTCTCCCTGTCTCAAATAAAGTCTTTTAAAAAATATATTTTTCTAACGTGTTTCCAGATCTTGCTACTCATATGTAAAATAATTTACTATCTTTTTATCTACTGATTGTTTTTCAACCGTAATATAAACTTACTTCCTTATCATGTTATCTACAAGTATTCACAAAGGTCTGTACCCGTGCTATCTGGTGCAGGAGCCATTAGCTATTTAAGCTTAGATGAATGGGGGCACCGGGTGACTCAGTTGTTAAGCATCTGCCTTCAGCTCAGGTCATGATCCCAGAGTCCTGGGATCAAGCCCCACATCAGGCTCCCTGCTCAGCGGGAAGCCTGCTTCTCCTTCTCCCACTCCCCCTGCTTGTGTTCCTGCTCTCGCTGTGTCTCTCTCTAAATAAATAAATAAAATCTTTAAAAAAAATAAATGAATAAAATAAATAAACTTAGATGAATGAAAATTAAATGGAATTTGAAATTCAGTAACTCAGTCACTCTAACCGGGAGCTGGTAGCTACTATCTTGGACAGCACTGACAAAGAATGTTTCCGTCATTGCACAAAGTTCTGTTGGTCTAGAATGTGTTATATAATGATAAATTGTTTTGCCTGCAGAAAGGGAAACCAAGGATTTTTACCAGATTCATACTGATGAGAGAGCCATTCCCGTAACCAGACAGCAGCCCTAATGTGTCAAGAGTAATTCTAGTAGTGTCCCTACCCCGGAATGGGCACACATTTCCTCGTCCTCTATGGTGCAGGCCTCCACAGTCAGGTACACAACATAATCCATTGAGAAGTAAGAGAAAATAAGTGTATAGTACATATTTTGTCTTCTGTTTAAATTAATATTTATGTATTGTAGTAGAATGTGTATGTAAATAAATATACATAACATGAGGTATCTGCTCACAGTATTTTTAGTTCCTGGGATGCATCATCAGAAATGTAGAAGCCATTTCTTTAGTGTCCCATTGATAAAGCCACCCTGTTGCTGTGTGGTCTACTGCCGTAGCTCCAGCACTCTCACCACCAGTTGCCTTTGTGTTTGGTGGTGCCTTCATGGTTCTGTGTCCAGTCTCCTCAAGAGAGGATCTAATCGGATAGGCCAGTCACCACCCAGAATCAAGTAGCTGGACAGAGCTCTTAATTCAGGATAATTTATAGACCCCTTGCCAGCCTTGAGATGGTACCTTTAAATGAAACACCATCGCCAGTACATTTTGCTGTGATGATGGTCCTGGAGTTACAGAATACAAAGCATGAAACTATTATTGTTAAGGAATCTTTCCAAAGAAGGCATTAAGCTTGGCAAGTACTCTGGGCCGCCTTTTAAGAAAACCATGTAAACTGCCTGGTACTGTACATTCTCCGTCCAGTGTGTTTGTTAAAAATAAATTACAGCTTCCAAAAAGGAAGGTCAGAAAGTGAAGTCTCTTTGACTGCCTTCATACTCCTTTCCTGCTAATACGGTACAGACACTGTGGTAGAAAGAATAATGGCCCCCAAAGATGTCTATGTTTTAATCCCCAGAAACTGAATGTGTTACCTTATATGATAAAAGGAACTTTGCAGGTTGGATTAATTTTGGGACCTTGGACGGGACGTATCCTGGATTGTCCAGGTAGGCCCAATGTAGACACAAGAGTCCTTGTAAAAGGGGTGCCCATGTCGAAAGTCAGAAAAAGAAGCTGTTATCACAGAACCAGAGAATGTAGGGATGTGCTTTGAAGGTGGGGGAAGGGACCATGAGCCAAGGAATACAGTCAGCTTTTAGAAGCTAGAACAGGCAAGGAAACAGATTCTCCCCTGAAGGCTCCAGAAGTAATGCATCCCTGCTGCTACCTGGATTCTAGATTTTTTACCAACAGAATTATAAGAAAATAAATTTGTGTTGTTTTAAGCCACAGGGTTTGTGGTGATTTGTTACAGCAGCAATAAGAAACTAATAGAGACACGTATTGATAAGCACTTTCTACAGAGCTTTTATGAAGCACTTTCAGCATGACAGGCACAAAAATACCAGATTTCCATTTTTTAAATCTCTTTACTTTCATTAAGCTCTTGAAGAGCTAAGTCAATCACTACTTTTCATTTTGGGTTGGCTTCTAAATCAATTAGGATGCTTTCAGTTGCCAGTAAAAGAATGGGAATTTGTTGGATTCAATAACTGGAAAATGTGAAGGTCAGGCAGCTGTCAGGACTCTGGCTCCATTTCCCTGTGAATCTCTTGGCTCTGTTCTTTCCCACTGTCAGCATCATCCTTGGGCTAGTTTCCCCATCTCAGGATGGCTACCAGGAACACCTGGAGCTGTGTGCTCAAACTGCTCTGGATTGGAGTGACTGGGAAGAATTCCTGTGTCGAGGAGGACGGTCTTTAGCCAGGATTGGAGTCAATCTCATATTGTTTCATTACTTTACTCAGTAAGGGAAGGGGGTGTTACAACTCCCCTAAGAAAATCTGGGTGCTATTAGGAAAGGGAAAGGGTATTGATAATAATCAAGAGCCTGTTATAATAGATAAAAGATAAATTATAATATCTTGAAGTAATACTAGTGTAAAATGTTAATAACTGGTATAGTGCTTCAATACTAAAATGTATCGTTTTCATGTGTATGTATCATTACCAGAAGTTCTGAATGTGTCTTTTTTTATGCATCATAAAGACTTTTTTTTTTGAGAGAGAGAGAGAGAAAGCGAGCACAGCATGGGTGGCCAGGGGGGACAGAGGGAAGAGAGAGAATCCCAAGTAGCCTCCACACCCAGCACAGAGCCCGACACAGGGCTCGATCTCACAACCCTGAGATCGTGACCTGAGCCGAAATCAAGAGTCAGACGCTCAACCAACTGCACCACCCAGGGGCCCCAAGACATTTTAGAAAAAATCTTCTAAAAGTTTGCATTTGGGAAAGTTGTGTCTTTTTTGCCCATTAGTGTTAATTATTACATAGCACAGCTTGATGACATACTTTCCTGACCTGTGAGGGTTTCTTCCATTCTGGTGTTGGATTCTTCGTCTTTCTCCATTATTAAGGTCCTAATTGCAGTGAATTAGACTCTTGCTTTAAAAGCTTGTCAACAAGCTTTCTCATATAAACATCTTTTTATGTAATGATTATTATTTCTGACATCCATAATTGAGGTCCTTGATCACTTAAGCAAAACAAAGATGTTCGGTATTCATGATGTTAAGAGACTTACAATGGACCGTTCCATTTCAAAATCTTCAAAACTGACTATAAAAAAAGAAACCAAAATGGGCTCTTTTCTTATACACAAAACCAAGTATAATATTAAGGAGCATAATGATTATTTTTAGGGTTAGGTAGAAAATTTTAGAAAAACAAATTTTTCATTTTCATATATATGTCAATATTAGATTCCAGTTATCTGACAAATTGCTCCAGCAATAGATAAATTTATAATCAACTTGCTAGTAATGAGTGACTAAGTCTGTAAAGTACCATGGAAGACAAGGTAAAGGAGCCTTAAAACATATCATTAGTTGGAATAGGATTGGAGGAATATATTATTAGTATATTTGCTATGCAATTTTTTGAAATGACTTGACAAAGTTTATCATAAACTGCCTTTAGCAAATAGTTTGCCATTAATGATGGCAAATGATGTGCAGCTATAGGAACTACTTAAGATTTTTGTGAATAATTTTAGAGCAGTAGAATTCTCTGAACTTAAAAAATACGCAGAAAAATCTCCCAGAGATTTTGATTCACTTTCTCTGAGGTGGGGTCAGTGGCCAAGGTAAAAACCACTAACTTAGAGGATTTTTAATATTAGAAATAGGGCACAAGTCAGTAACTGTAGAAAAAGAGATGGAATTTTTAAGATAATAGAGAAATTATATAAATGCTCATGCCAAGTTGAAGAGTGCTACTACATTCAGGACAATGGATGCTTAATCCAGTTCAGAGAAATGAAATCTTTTTTTTTTTTTTGAGAAATGAAAACTTACTTTTAAAGCCTGCATCTAAAAAGAAAGCATATTTTCTTCTTTAAAAGCCTACATTCCAGTGTAATTTGACATTCACTAACTTTTCTCATTCATACATTTTGAATTTTAACAATACTCACTGCTACCCCAGTCACAGAAGAGAAGCTAGAACTCCATAGCAACCTGGCAGTAATATTGGATTGAGTTAGCCTGAGAAATAATGTTTTTCAAATTATAATATTTGGATCAGTTCAGAGAAGTGGTAAAAACATGAGTCAGTCATTCAGTAAATGGTGTTGGGACCGTAAGCCATCCATTTCAAAATTAAAGCTACACAAAATAAATTCCAGGTGGGTCAGAAAGTTATCTGTACATATAGACAATGAGAACTCAGAAGACAAGAGGTTTTTAAAATGTAATCAGGGAGTGGGGAAGGCCTTCATAAGCAAAACCCCAAATCCAGAAGTCATAAAAGAAGCCATTGAGAAGACATGTACTGTAGTAGGTAAAGATTTGAATTCTGATTTAATGGTCTGAGTTCATTTCCGTTTCAGTTTTTTACAGCTATATGATCTTGGAACTAAGAATACCGTATAAATATCAAAAAGATGTTTAATCAAAGAAATATATATTCCAACAGTGAGGCATCATTCTTTGCCTCTCAGATTGGCAGATATTAACAAGGATTGTAAAGAGGGTAATGAAAAAGTGTAGTCCCTCATATTCTATTCATGGAGGATAAATCAGTACAGCCTTTTTGTGAAGATGAATCAGCAATATCTGTTGAAAGTTAAAATGAGCATACACTTTGACTCAGCAATTCCAATTTTAAATATCTACATATTACATATTAAAAAGAAGTTTGGGGGCACCTGGGTGACTCAATCAGTTAAGCATCTGCCTTCAGCTCAGGTCATGATCCCAGGGTCCTGGGATTGAGCCCCACGTCAGGCTCCCTGCTTAGTCCCTCTCCCTGTGCCTCTCTCCCCTGCTTGTGCTCTCTCTCTCTCTCTGTCAAGTAAATAAATAAAATCTTTTAAAAAATGAAGTATGTACTAAGATTTTTACTGAGGCATTGTTGGAAATAGCTGAAAACTAATATTCTGAATTAGTGTCATTGTGGGAATTAACCTTTGGGGGAGGAGTGGAAAATGGATCTTTTTTTTGAAAACCTGTACACTTCTGTAACTGTAAAACTGAAAATGGTTTTAGACAATATTTTCCATAAAAGTTGTGAGCCAGTTGATGTTTTCTATTAAGGCATAGCTCCCTTTAATCAAACAGTAATATTTGGAATGTCTCTCTATAAACATGTCATATCTACTCCTTTGCAGAATGGAAACAGACTGTAATCCCATGGAGCTGAGCAGTATGTCAGGGTTTGAAGAAGATGCAGAGCTTAATGGTTTTGAAGAAGCTGATACGAAAGACATGAAGCTAGAAGCCGAAGCAGTTGTAAATGACGTTCTCTTTGCTGTTAACAACATGTTTGTCTCAAAAAACCTGCGCTGTGCCGACGATGTGGCCTATATTAATGTGGAGACAAGAGAAAGGAACAGATACTGCCTGGAGCTCACTGAAGCAGGGCTAAGGGTCAGTCGCTTTTCTTTTTAGGGGAAAAAAAAAATGTTATCTCTACCACTTGAGGGGGCGGGGGACAGGAAGGGTGTTAACTGAGAACGCAACACCTTGCAGCTCCAAAATTTTTTTTTTTTAAGATTTATTTGTTTTTAGAGAAAGAGCAGGGGCGAGGGGCAGAGGGAGAGGGAGAGAGAATCTCAAGCAGACTCCACGCTGAGCGTGGAGCCTGACTCGGGGCTTGATCTCATGACCCTGAGATCACAACCAGAGCAAAAACCAAGAGGCGGACACTCAACTGACTGCACCACCCAGGCGCCCCAAGAGTTTTGTAACGAAAACTTTTTTCCCTAGGAATTGTTATTAATTCTAAAGTCTTTTGGTCAACATGGGGAAATTGGATTTTTTTTGAAAAAGAAAAAACTTTTGATTTGCAGTGTTACTTTGCTTTGACCCTCACCCCCCAAATTAATTTATTTCTTGTCTATAGCTAAGTATGTCTGCCGAAATTAGGCATTCTGTGCACTGGGTGAGTTTTGCAATCATTGTGTTGAAAGGATCTTTTCCCACCTCTTATAAAATGTCTCTTCTCCTAAAACAGCACACCTGACTGCACTGTTCTCTAGCTGTTGGATCAGAACTAAGTCACGGCAGAATACTCTGCCTCCAAATTTGCAAGAGTGTCCTGTCCTACGTGTGAGCTTTCCTAGGCAGAGTCACCTCTCTGCACACTTTGAACCAGAATCCTCACTTTGGAATAGCAGAAAGCCCTACCCAAGAGCAGCTTATCATTTAAAACGGCAAAACTCACTGGGGCGCACCTGGCTGGCTCAGTCAGTGGAGCGTGCGACTCTTAATCTCAGGGTTGTAGGTTTGAGCCCCACCTTGGGTGTAGTGATTACTTGAAAATAAAATCTTTAAAAAATAATAAATAAGACAACAAAACTCACTGTTAGGAAAATTTTTTACCTGAACAAAGGAATAGGTATTAGAAATTCCGAAATTTAGTTTTGACTTTAATACTTATCAGTCTTGGTCAAAGATCTCTGCCTTTTCTGTTTCTATACCTAAGGGTAGTCCTGCAAAGTAGCACAGTATCATAAGGTACAGGGCAAGGCCTAAGCAAGTAAGAATGTCATACAATACTAAACAAGTACATAGACATCTTTTTATTTCACTAGATTCAGTTTGCTTAATATATGAACCATGTGTCCTGTGTATTCGTTGACAGTCACCTGCACTGAAGTAAATTGCAAGACTAGCCTCTTTACTACTTCCGGTTCCCTCATATAACTGCCAAGTCGGTAGCTCCTTAGCTTTGGGAGTAGTACCTGGATTAACTAATCTTTGTGCTCTCCTTCCTAAATCCCTAAACTTACGCTAAAAGCGTGTAGTGTGTAGAAGTGGATCTTAAGTAGAAATAGGCAAATCAAAAGTAGAGATAAATGACCCTGCATAAATTAATTCAGTCTTGCATTGATTAATTCTGAGATGACTGTGGGAAGGTAGGAAGGGCTCTGACGAGAGTCAGAAGCCTAACATGGGAATTTGAGTGATCTTGGGTAAGTCATTCCACCTCTCTTAGTCCCTTCTTCTTTATCTGTAGCCTAGAGATTAGGGAAAAAAAAAAAACTAAAAAGGATTTGGGGAATGCTTATATGAATAGTTTGCAGAAAGATCTCGATCCCTTAAAAACCCGGCACGTGGGTATCCAGTAGTTGTTTGTTTTTGCAGTCTTAGTTAACTTTTATTGAGCAACTATCCTGAGTCAGGAATTGGAAATCAAACCATGAGCAAGGTATGATCCCTGTCCACTAGGAAGACTACAGACGAGCAGGGAAAGGAGGGGCAAATAGAATTGTAATGCACGGAGAAAGGGCAGTGACACAGCATGGTTCTGAAGAGGTGTGACTCACTCTCCTGACACGTCTGCCTCTGCTTGTCATGGAAAACAACACCACCACCACTTCTAACATAAACTTGCATCTTCTTGGATAGATGTCATTAAAAATTAAGAGTTTATGTAGGGAATTCACAAGCTTTAGTCAAATCAACGAAAACTAAGTTGATTTTGCCGTAACACTGTGCAGGTGAACCAGGATAGATCTTGTTGGGGACAAAGCTTTCACTGTGTTTAAAGAAAACACACACAAATACACATACACAGAATAACATTCCCTTTTATCTCACAGAATTGAGTGTTTGTTTCCCTGTCAGATAAGTAATGTGTTAGTAATGTTAAATTAGTAATGTAACTAATTGTAAAGCAGGATTGAAACTATAAACAATTTTTAGAACTCTTTATAAAAGAGTTTAAATAATGATAAAAATATGGACTGATGATGCATTATCTCTTCTGGTGCCTTGTTATGGTTGATCCTCAGTCAGTGTGGGATTAAAGAGAAGCGTGTTTCAGTCCATGAAAATGAAATACTAGTTCTTTGTAGCTTTTTACATTCCTTCCGACATTCCTTTTTAGTCAGGAGTAGGTAAACTGAACCTTTTACATTTTGAGGAAAAAGATGATAAAGAGGGCATTTTGTTGGTGGTGGGTCCTGTATGTTTCCGGTTGCTTAGAAATGTGCATATTCTAACTACTGATTGAGAAATCGTGTCATTAAAGAACGGCCCCAGTAAACACGTGGTTTTTGCCTTCTGTACCAAGTTAAATCTAGTTATTTGATTCACTGTTGCATTTCTCTTGTAGGTGGTAGGTTATGCTTTTGACCAAGTGGATGATCACTTACACACTCCCTATCATGAAACGGTCTACTCGTTGCTGGATACCCTCAGCCCTGCCTACCGGGAAGCATTTGGAAACGCACTCCTTCAAAGACTGGAAGCTTTGAAGAGGGATGGATAGTCATGCTTTTTCCTTCTAGAGGGGGCTGCTGGTACAAAATGTTGACATAAAGCTTGAAATACTTGCATATGGTCATAGTAGAAAATGCATCTTTGGTTTTTATGTCCATTTCTTGCTTCAAGTTTAGGCTTCTGACTCAAAACATCACTGATTAATGAATTGTCTTTCTTAGTTTCAGATTCATGAAGGGAATTGAGGCCATTGCTTGACACCGTCATTAAGACATTAAGATTTGGTCATATAGTATCTCTGCATTTCAAAACCTAATCAGTATTTCATTCTGTTATTACAGGACTTTGATGCTGCCGGCCCTCTCTCTTACATAGGAAATTCTAGACTTGCACAGTAATATACAGGAATTAAAATGACCTAACTTCATACTTGGATTGAGCTTGCTAAATCAGGGGTTTACTACTAGCTTGGACCGACTTTGTAGTAATTATTTTGCTACTAGCCTTATTGGAAACAAATTATCGACTAGTTTCCCCTGCACAAATTTTGAAATTCACTGCTTCACTTAATCTATTTATATTACTAATATGGATTGATAAAGATGAATTAATTATATATATATCACTTAGCTAGTATTAAATGGAAAACAGGTACTGAATAATAGTTCTGTATTCCTTGTTTGCAACAGCCACCCAACTAAGAGGACAAACCGTTAGCAAATGAATGTAATAATTGTTTCCAAGATATTTAAGCACATAAGCAAATATAGGAACAGGCTCCATTTTTCTTAACAAAAAAGCATCTTCAGTGTGTGTGTGTGTGTGTGTGTGTGTGTGTGTGTGTGTGTGTGTGTTTGACTTAAAAGGAAGAAGATTCTGATTTCCTAGAAAACAATATTTTGGCCTGTGTTGATTCTTATTATGAATGTTTGTTTACATAATGTACAGTATATATTCAGAAAGTATTTTTGCTTCAATGTTTCCTTTCTATAAAGTAGTGCTTTGGTATTCCCATAGCGCTCCTTCTTCCCCAACAGATGCACAGTGTTCTGTCTCCATGCGAAATCTACAATGTAACATGCTGTAATATGCGTGCATTGTATGGGTTTGAAACCAAAGGATGAATGAAGCATTCAGAGACTTAATATTTGAAAAAAGGAGGCTCTGTTTTTATATTTTATTACAGGTACTAATATTTATAAAAATGAATTGTACCATGCTGCTACATGTTTTCAAGTACATATTGAATACTGAGGATTGGGGAGTTGATTTTTTAGTAGTAACCTAAAGCAGCTGTAGAAATGTTGAAGTAAAACTCTGCATCAGGACACACCTTCGTAATTTGTCATTTGCAGACTTTTCTTAATCATTATTAAGTAATAGGTACTTTTAGGCTCTGAAGATCACATAGACCGCATTGAGGTTCGGTTGGGTCAGTATTCATCGTCGGAATTCATCGGGATGCTTTAACTATGTTCGGTAAATGCATGTCCATTTGCAGCTTTATTTTCAGATGCTAACTATTTGGGCAGTAAAGTCTAACTGCAGGTTGGATTTTCTCACGCTTAATCTCAGGCTAAATAAATGTTAAGGATATTTGTAAAGTTTGAATAAAATTCTGTTTACTCATTTCGAGTTAAGTATGAAGAAAAGTGATTGTATGTTCAAAAATTGACATTGTTCACTTTGTGATAAATGACTGGTTCCAGGAGCTTCCACGTCCATTTTTTAATTCCATGCGGTTACATTTTGCTGTGAAGTGATTTGCTCTTTCTACCATTATGAAAGAGGAACAGAGAGAGAAGACATTAATAAAACTATACAGATACTAAAACTTCCATTTCATCTAGCTTGTTTAAAGAATCTAATCAGACAAATTAAGCCTTGATTTCCCTTCCAAAAGAAAAAGGGAAAAAAAGGAAAAGCCTCTAAATAAGTAACTCTTACAAATCAGTAAGAAAACAAGAACAATGGGTATATAATATGATCAAACAACTCTAAAGAATATATAGATGTCCAGTAACCACTTGAAAGATAATCAACTTGACCAGTAATTCAAGAAAGGAAAATAGGGTTTAGCTCTGTGTTTCACCTAATAATTTCATAATCTCCCTTATTTAAATGTAATGATAACAATAAGGATTTAGTGAGGGGCACTCTTACATTCTGTCGGGGAATTTATCAGTGAAACCTTTCTGGAAAACATTAGTAATAGAGCCTTTACAAAGCTTGTAACTTCTGTACTGGTAATATCCCAGCAAACTAGCATAGGGAAGTGACTCAGCAGAAAATACACTACAAGGATGTTTACTTTCTCTAATGAAAAATTGGAAAGGCTGTAAAAAGTGGTTGTTATGCCACATGCTTTTGATGGAAAAATATGCAGCCATTAAAAATCATGGAAAAAATGGCAACAGGAAAAAATTCTACATGATAAAAAAGGATTTAAACTATGATCTATTTTTGGAAAATATACAGTGTTCTACAATGTTAATAGTAGCTATCACTAGGTGGTAAGGTAGGTAATTTTCATCTCCTTCATATGTTCTCACAGTTTCTGCGTTAGCCTATATGCACTAATTGGAGGCGAAAGACAATAGATCCGGGGTTTCAGCCAGCCAAAGAACCTTTCTCTAGCAAAAGCACCAAGCTAGGTTGAGTTGTGTTCATTCCCAGATCCTTGAAGAGGCAGTAGGATTGTGAAGACAGAAGAGTGCCCACCTCTTTTCCCATGATGACTCCCTCCCCACCTTTCCTCCAGGTCATTAAGCAGCAAAATCAGCCCCCGGTGGTGTCCTGGTCGTTAGCTTCCTCCGCACACAGCGTCATTCTGTCCAATGTTTAGAAACACAAAAAGTGTTGAGGGGAGCAGGGTAGAAATACAGATTCCGACACAGATCACGTCGACTTCAGAACTCTGCCTTCAGCCCCTTTGTTTTGCGGACGCCATAGCTGAGATTTGGACAGACGGAGGGACTTGCTCAGCGGCCCACCTGTGAACACTGGAGCTGGGTCAGAACCCAGCCTTCTGACTCCACCAACTATCCCTGTCCGGTGTGTGTTGATAAAAGCATCACCCGAACTCTGTGGTTACAGGTGCATATCATTTTATTGTGCTTTACAGATAATGCAGGATTTTTTGTCACAAATTAAAGGTATTTTATTATGGTGGTCAGTGATTTCTGATGTTACTGTAAGGGGGGGGCACAAACCATACTCATATAGGATGGTGAACTTAACTGATAACTTGTGTTCTAACTGCTTCACTAACCAGCTATTTCCTTCTCTCCCTCTCACTTTATATCAAAAGCTAAAAATGATTAAGTTTAGTGAAGGAAACGTGGAAAGCCAAGATACGCCAAAAGCTAGGCCTCTTGCACTCGTTAGCGAAGATGTGAATGCAGAGGAAAAGTTCTTGAAGGAAAAAGTGCTACTGCAGTGAATACACGAATGATAAAGCAAAACAGCCTTACTGCTCATGGGGAGAGTTTTAGTGTTCTAGACAGAGGATCAACCAACCACGTTACCTTATGCTAAAATCTCTTCCAGAGCAAGGCATTAACTCTTCAATGCTATGAAGGGTGGGAGAGGTGAGGAAGCTGTAGAAAAAAAGTTCAAAGCTAGCAGAGGTTGGTCAGGGGGTTTACAGAAAGGCAATGTCTCCACAACATAAAAGTACAAATCAAAGCAGGCTATCGAGAGGATCTAGCTAAGATGAGTAACGAAGGTGGCTACACTAAACATTTTCAATAGATGAAACAGGCTTCCATTGGAAGAAGGTAACTTCTAGGACTGTTAGAGCTAGAGAGAAGTCAATCCCTAGCTTCAAAGGACGGGCTGACTTGTCAGGGGCTAACGCTCTAGTGACTTCAAGCAGAAGCCAATGCTCATTCACCGTTCCAAAAAATCCTAGGGCCCTTAAGAATTATGCTTGGAACACCTGGGTGGCTCAGTCAGTTGAGAATCTGACTTCGGCTCAGGTCATGATCTCAAGGTCCTGGGATTGAGCCACGCAGAGGGCTCTGCGCTCAGTGTGGAGTCTGCTTGTCCCTCTGCCCCTCCCCGTGCTCACTGTCTCTCTCTCTCAAATAAATAAGATCTTAAAAAAAAAAAGAATAATGCTGGGCGCCTGGGTGGCTGTTAAGTGTCTGCCTTCGGCTCAGGTCATGATCCCAGGGTCCTGGGATCAAGTCCCACATCGGGCTCCCTGCTCAGCGGGGAGTCTGCTTCTCCCTCTGCCTCTGCCCTCCCATCTGCTCGTGCTCTCTCTCTCACACTCTCCCAAATAAATAAAATCTTTAAAAAAAAATCATGTTAAATCTGCTCTGTGCTCTGTAAACAGAACAACTAAGCCTGGGTGACAGCACATCTGTTTATAACATGGTTTGCTACATATTTTAAGCCCCTGCTGAGACCTGTTGGGAAAAGAAAAATTTATTTCAAAATATTACTGACAATGTATTACATTGACAATATACCCAGTCACCCAAGAACTCTGATGGAGATATGCAGTCAGATGAATGTTCTTCTCATGCCTGCTACCACAACGTCTATTCTGCCCCATGGATCAAGGAGTCATTTCGACTTTCAGGTCTTATTTAAGAAACACTTTGAAAGGCTGTAGCTGTCTTACAGCTCTGATGGATCTGGGCAAAGTAAATTGAAAACCTAAAAAGGATTCACCATTCTAGATGCCATGAAAAGCATTCATGATTCACGAGGAGAGGTCAAAAGACCAACATTAACAGGAGTTTGGAAGAAGTTCATTCCAACCCTCATGGATGATTTCGAGCGGCTCAAGCCTTCAGTGGAGGAAGAAATTGCAGATGGGGTGGAAACAGCAAGGAGCCTGAGGATGGGACTGAACTGCTGCAATCTCACAGCAAAACTTAAACAGATGAGGAGTTGCTTCTTATGGATGAGCTAAGAAAGTGGGCTTCTTGAGATGGAATCTATTGGTGAAGATTGTTGAAATGACAAAAGGTTTAGAATATTTCATAAACTTAGTTGATGGAACAGCAGCAGGGTTTAAGAGAATCCATTCCGATTTTGAAAGAAGTTCTACTGGGGCACCTGGGTGGCTCAGTCAGTTCAGCTCAGGTCATGATCCCAGCGTCCTCAGATCAACCTCCCTCACTGGGCTCTCTGCTCAATGGGGAGTCTGCTTCTACCTCTGCCCGACCCCCTGCCCGTGCTCTCTCTCACTTTGTGCACTCTCTTTCTCAAATAAATATCTTTTTTAAAAAAGAAAAAGTTCTGTGGGTAAAACACTATCAAACACCATCACACGCTAGAGAAATCATTCCTGAAAGGAAGAGTCAATCGATGCTGCAAACTTAATTGTCTTATTTTAAGAAATTGCCCCAGCCACCCCAGCCTTCAGCACCCACCACCTGGATCAGTCAACAGCCATCAACATTGAGGCAAGACCCTTGCTGAGAGCTCAAACGATGGTTAGCATTTTTTAGCAATAAAGTATTTTTTAATTATGTACATTAGTTTCTTTAGACATAATCCTATAGAACACTTAACTACAGTATAGGGTAAACATAATTTTTATATGCCCTGGGAAACCAAAAAAATAATTTCACTAGCTTTGTTGCAATACTCGCTTTATTGTGGTGGTCTGGAAACCAAAATTCTCCAAGGTATGCCTGTGTATGAAAGCTGATTTTGAAAAAAGAAAGGAGTAACAGTAAAAGAAAGGTACATTACTTGTTGATATAATAGAATTAATCAATAGAATCTCATTTTCTCACCTACCAATATGATAGATATAAAATTCTCTGGAAGCCATCCACTTATAACTACGGTGCTAGCTCCTTTAGCTGTTACCAGGAGTATAAACAATAAGAATGAAACAAGGTGAGATATTTTATAGTAACACATCCAGTTGAATAGCTTTCAAAATACCTGCTTAACTGCACATCAGTAGGGACAAACTAAAAATCAAAAAGAGGCATCCAGTGAATTCTAGAGTATTTGGAATAACAAGTCATTTGAAAGAATGCTGAAGAAGATCTCCATCAAGTTTTGCTCAGGTCTTGCATGAATATTTTTACATCTTGTGGATAATTTAAAAAAAAAGAATGTTGCTATGAGCAAGCTGTTCCCAAATTGAATGCAAAATCTCAAAGGGTTAATTATTTTATCAAAACAAATGTTAATGAGATGAGAAAAGGGGGGCACCTGGGTGGCTCAGTCAGTTAAGGGTCCAACTCTTGATTTGGGGCTCAGGTCATGATCTCAGGGTGGTGAGATCCAGCCCAGCATCGGGCTCTGTCCTGGGCCTGGAGCCTGCTTAAGATTCTCTCTCCCTCTCCCTCTAGGCTTCCCCACCATTAGTTAATTCATTCATTCACTCATTCATTCATTCATTAAAAAGAAAAGGGGGTGGAGACCAAAAAAAAAAAAAAGAACGAAAGGGTCCCATCTGCCGAAGTGTGCCTTAGCGTTGCAGAAATAAAGCAATTTCTGGGGCGCCTGAGTGGCTCAGTTGGTTAAGTGTCTGCCTTTGGCTGGGGTCATGATCCTGAGGTCCTGGGATCGAGCCCCACATCGGGCTCCCTGCTCAGTGGGGAGCCTGCTTCTCCCTCTCCCTCTGCCTGCCGTTCCCCCTGCTTGTGCTCTCTCTCTCTGTCAAATAAATAAATAAAACCTTAAAAAAAAAAAGCAATTTCACCTTTGGACACCACTTCAGTAAAGGTTGTCAAATATGTCTTATTCAATCCTAACAGCCCTGTTAGGCTGGTGAGTTCACTCGTGTTTTACATCAATTTAACAGCCGAGGTAAGGTTAAAACATCGTCCCAGTCGCTAACAAATGGCTGCAGAGCTGGAATTTAAGGCCAGATCCGCTGAGTGCCCAGAGCCTCCAAGCTGGCTAGAGCTCCTGGGTCACATCCGGTTTTTTTAAGGCAATCAGTTAAAAAAAAAAAAATACAAAAAACTACCCCCCCAAATGCTATATGTGTTAAATATTTATATTTAACAAGTTATTGTTTACAGCACGAAGTATTTCAATAGAATCTGACTATTCCAAGATAAGGGCAGGATGTCCACAAGGACATTTGTGGTCCCGTGATAAGGCAAACTGGATGTCACCTTTTAATTTGTCGGTTTATCTGGGCACCTGCATGTCTAATCTCATTTGGAAAGGTCAAAAGCCTAAATTCCATCCCTTTGTGAATGTGGATGGCCGCCGGGCACCATGGCCTCTAGCCGCCACCACCCCTGCCCAGCCCCGAGGTGTCTCCCGAACTGCCACCGAGCAGCCCCGGGGCCTGCCGAGCCCCATCGACCGAGCGGCGACTGACTGCACTGTGAGGACCACACACGCTGTCGTTGCAGCCTCCTGGACCCAGAACTCCATGGCAACAGCTGCTCCCGGCGCTGGAGGATTGCCACGTCCTCCCGCTCACACGATCCCACAGGGGAATGGGCTTCGGGCTTTCCTCGTTCAGCCGATTCAGCAGCATTTTCAGTCCTCCGGGTCTTGTGAACCCGGGGTCGTTTCCAGTTTCGGAATTAAAAGAGGCGAAAGGGAGCCGGGGTCACGTGGCCCCTACGGCACGGCCCCAGGAGGCTCCGAAAGAGAACTCGCTCCGCCGGCGAGCACTGGGCGTGGAGCCAAGCAGAACGGGGGTGGGGGACCACTGTGGCCCCCAGGCCCCGCAGAGCCCACCCCGCGCGGGACACCCGCGGCCCCGCCCCCGCCCCGGGAACGCCCCGCCTCGCGCCCTAGGCCCCGCCCCCGGAGAGTCAGGGCCCCCCCCCGCCCCACCTCCTTGGCAACCAGAGGGACGCTTTCTCCTTAGCAACCAGTGCTGCTCCCAGCATGGCTGAAGAAAAGGAAGTTATTGCAGCCACCGAGAAAGTTATCCGGATCCAGAGGGTGTTTATAAACCTGCTGGATTCATACAGCAGCGGGAACATCGGGAAGGTGAGCAGCGGCCGGTCAGAGTAGACAGAGCCCCAGCCCCCACCCCCCAGCCCCCAGTCCCCCGCCCCTGGGTTCCCGAGGCCCCGAACCCAGGGAGGGTTTGCGCCACGGGACGCTGTCAGGGCCTCCCCGAAAAGAGGGTCCCGGGTCCTGGGCACCAGTCCGCACGCAGAGGCGCCGCTGGAAGCCCAGGTGTTTGGAGATCGCCGGTCCAGCGCTGCGTCCTCCCCGTTAATGAAAGGAAACTGAGGCTCCGAGGGAGAAAGGGACTTGCCCCAGATCACATAGCAAGTTGGGGGCCGGACCTGGACACAGGGCCCAGGTCTCTGGCCGCCTAACTGGGCTCTCCTTACCCACCACCACCGCATCTGAAGCAGACATCTGACAGCTAAGTCCAGGGGTTATGTCGCCTAACCAAGCATATTAATTCATCCACGCCTTGCACAGACATTTTGAGGGTCTATTATGTGCCGGGCACTGTCTTGGGCGCTGAGTCCCACTAAACTTCCCCACTCTTCATCGTTAGTCCTGGGAAATAAGGATATTCTAAAAAGAGGATCCTGAGACCCTGAAATCTTCAAATACTCAGTAGTCAAAAGAAAGCCATAATTTTATCACTTCCCTGAGCAAGACTCATTCATCTCAATTCTACCCTCTGGAGCTACCCAGAAGTGTAACCTCACCCTGGGCAGACTTCTGTGAGGCTAATGATCGCACTTTCAGACAACACATGCTACCCGAATTAGGATGTGGCTACAGTGCATACCATCTATACCGGTTTCCTAGCGATCACAAATAACCACAAACTGGGTGGCTTAAAACAACCGGGTTTATTCTGTCTCAGTTCTGGAGGCCAGAAGCCCAAAATCAAAGTGTTGGCAGGGCTGGTTCCTTCTAAAGGCTGTGAGGGAGATTCTGCTTCATACCTCTCTCGTAGCGCCTGGTGCTTGCCGGAAGTTCTTGCATCCCTTGGCTTGTAGACTCATCACTCCAACCTCTGCCTCTGTCTTCCCATGCCGTTCTCCTCAAGTATCTCTGTGTCCCAATTTCCCTGTTTTTAGGACACCAGTCATTGGATTAGAGCCCATTCTAATCCAGTATGACCGCATTTTAACTCGATTACATCTGCAAAGACCCTATTTCCAAATGGGGGTGGGGAGTAGGGGGCCACTACTCAACCCAGTACACCATCTAAAGTTGATCAGGAAAAAAAAATACAGATTTAGATAGTTAATTTATATGTAAAATAGTATATTTTATATCTGGCATGCAATAATATATATGGTAGTATATGTGATGGTGTTGTTAAAAAGGAAGCCACAAGGCCCAAGGTGGAGTCATTTGCCAGGACAGCAAACCAAGACTTAATTGTAGTTTTCAACCTCTCTAGGAGTGGAATTTTAAGACAATCAGTCTGGAATTCTCTGGATGACATCAATGAGGTTATCTGTCACTGGGCTCTCTCCATTCCCCAAAGGAAGATGAGGTCATCTGCACAAGACCCCCCCCCTTCCCTAAGGGAAGGTGACCTTCCTAAAACAATCCTTTCTTTTTTTGCTAATAACTCCACCCCACCCACCTTCCCATAAAAACCTTCCATTTTGTGCAGCTTCTCAGGGCTTCCATCTGCTTGCTAGATGGGATTGCTGCTCAATTCATGAATCACTTAGTAAAGCCAATTCAATCTTCAAATATTCTCAATTGAATCTTGTTTTTTAACAGTATGTACAGTGTATATGATATGTATCTACTACGAGAGACTAAAAACACATGATACATCTTCCACATTACTAGAAAATCGAGGAGAGGGACGGAGAAAGGACAAAGACACAATTGGAAAAAATATGTAACAAAATCTGTTTATTTAAAGAAAGGAAGCATGAAAAAGACAGATGTAGTATGAAGTGATTTATGTCTTTCAAAAAGATAGATACAAATATAAAGATAGGTAGACAGGTAGATGAGGAAATAAATAGAGATGATCTATGTGCAGAAAATGTCTCAAAATAGGGGTGCCTGGGTGGCTCAGTCGGTTGAGTCTCCAACTCTTGATGTCAGGGTCACGGGATCGAGCCCCATGTCAGGCTCCGAGCTCAGAGGGGAGTCTGCTTGACATTCTTTCTCTCTCTCTCCCTCTGCCACTCCCACAGACGATAAGTAATTTTTTGAACAACCACGGTATTTAGGTGTGTGATAGGTACTTTGGAAGAAAGAGAGTAGAAGATTGGCTGGTGAGAGAGAGCAGCTGCTTAGGGTCTCAGGAAAGGGCTCTCCTTAAAGCTGCCCCTTACCCTCACACCCCAGGATGAAGATCAAGCCAGAGGAGCTGGTTCTCAGGGCACAGCAGAGGCAAAGGTTCTAAGGTGCGAGTCGGAGGACAGAGGCGTGAGGGTGCAGGGAATCAGGCCCCAGGACAGCCGGCCCAGGGCCCAGGGCCCACGAGACTTGGCAGCCCACAAACATGTCTTAATCTCTTTTAAAATCAGAAGGAAGCAAATGAAATTTCAGAGTCAAAGATGGTAGGTCTTTATGGCAATGCAGTCGCAAAATATAATTTTTAATTTTTTTTTTCTTGGAGGAAAGGACCCATGGAAGTCTGAAGGTGGCCTTGCTCAGCAGCTCACTGGTGCCCCACGTGTGGTCAGCACTCCACTGATTCTTGTTGCATTAATTAATGAAGCAGAATCAAACACAAAGTGGAAGGGGGTGTGGGAGAGATGCCAAGGTGGAGAAATAAGCAGGCTCCATGCAGAGCACAGAGCCCAACAAGGGGCTCCATCTCACTACCCTGAGATCAGGACCTGAAATGAAATCAAGATTTGGATGCTTGACCCACTGAGCCACCCAGGTTACCCCCTGGATTATTTTATTTTATTTTTTTTAAGATTTTATTTATTTATTTGAGAGAGAGAGAATGAGAGAGAGAGAAAGCACATAAGGGGGGGAGGGTCAGAGGGAGAAGCAGACTCCCCGCTGAGCAGGGAGCCCGATGCGGGACTCGATCCCGGGACTCCAGGATCATGACCTGAGCCGAAGGCAGTGGCTTAACCAACTGAGCCACCCAGGCGCGCCCCCCTGGATTATTTTAAAAAGGGAGGGGACATGATTGAGATTAGGCAAGAGAATTTAACCTTTTTCTCTACCCCCTTTTGAGCTCTGGTTATTTTTTTACAGCATAATATTTTTTTTAAAGATTTTGTTTACTCATTTGAGACACAGAGATACAGACAGAGAGAGAGAGAGCACGAGCAGGGCTAGAGGCAGAGGGAGAGGGAGAAGCAGGCTCCCCGCTGAGCCAGGAGCCCGATGCAGGGCTCGATCCCAGCACCCTGGGACCACGACCCGAGCCGAAGGCAGCCGTTTAACCCTCTGAGCCACCCAGGTGCCCCTACAGCATGATATTTTTAGAACAAAAGATTTTCTTTTAGTTTGTAGAGATCTTTTCCAAAAGCTTATCAATAACAGAATTTTTTGGTTATTCCTTGACTCACCTGGACGTCTAGTTCTGAAATTTTAGGGAATTACTGTTCTCCATACCAAGCAACATGGGACTGAGAATATGAAGCATATAAAAGAAATGGAGGCTGGGTCTCTAGTCTTCAGGCTCCCCGCCCAGCTGGGCAAAGCCACCTGCCCCCTGTCCCCGCCCCCCAACTCGTCCCTGGAGGGGAGCAGGGTGGCCGTGGGGTCCATGTGCCGCCTCGGGGATCAGGACGTCCGACTGCACCCCTCCCTGCCCATGCAATCTTGGGCAAGTTCCTTAGAGCCGGGCATCAATGTCCTCAACAGTGAAATGGGGTAATAAAATTGACTGTGTATGTTTGAGAGAGAAATGAAAATATATATGACATACTTGGTAGAAATAGAGTCCCATAAGTGGTTGAACCTGACAAGCTTGCATTACTAACTCGAAATGACCTTTATCAAAATAAATGAGGTGGGACTTCTGGTTTGTTTGGGGTTTTTTTGTATGTCTTTCCTCCCAAGGTGTGATAATGTCATGACTACTTACATATGTTTAACATGTAAATTAAAATAAAAATTGTTTTTTTGTTTTTTTGAGAGAGAGAGCATGAGCTAGCAAGGTGATGGGGGAGGGGCAGAGGGAGAGAGAAAGAGAGAGACTCTTTTTTTTTTTAAATCATATTCTCTCTGTATATTTTATTTATTTATTTTTATTTTTTTAATTTATTCATTTGAGGCACAGAGATACAGAGAGAGAGAGAGAGAGAGAGAGAGCATGAGCAGGGGGAGAGGCAGAGGGAGAGGGGGAAGCAGGCTCCCTGCTGAGCCAGGGGCCCGATGTGGGGCTCGATCCCGGGACCCTGGGATCATGACCTGAGCCAAAGGCAGACGCTTAACCATCTGAGCCACTCAGGCGCCCCAAAAGAGAGAGACTCTTAAGCAGGCTCCATGCTCAGCAAAGAGCCCAGTGGAGGACTGGATCTCATGACCCTGAGAGCATGACCTGACCTGAAATCAAGAGTCAGACACTTAACAGACTGAGCCACCCAGGCGCCCCTCTTTGGATTTTGTTTGTTTTGGTTTGGTTTTTTTTTGTTTGTTTGTTTTTTGCCAACTTGATTCTATTTCGTTCTTCAATAAGGTAGCCACTGGCCACTTGCGGCTATAGAACATTTCAATGTGGCAAGTCCAGATGGAGGTGTGCCCACGCTCAGTGTAAAATGCACACTGAATTTCAAAGACTTAGTATAAGCAAAAAGGAATATAAAAGATCTAATTAATAATTTTATATGGATTACATGTGAAATTAGTAATATTTTGAATCTGTTGGGTTAAATGAAACATTATTTAAATTCATTTCACTGGTTTCCTTTTACTTCTGTTTAATGGGGCTGCTAGCCGGTTTAATTTACCAGAGAGGATAGCATGACATTTCTCCATTTCTATTAGGCAAGACCAACATGGTGACTGCAGCCCTGCCCTGCCACATAAGCTTGCCACATCCCTTAAGCTCTCTGAGCCTGGGTTCCTCAACTATGAAACAGAGCATCGTAATAGTACCCACCTCACTGTGTTACCACGGTTATTGCTAATTTCAGCGAACTACCACCACTGTATAACCCACTGGCTGTGCGCGTCTGGTACCTCTAGCAAGCCCTCCAGAAACTTCAGTTTTTAGAATCCTTTCACTGGCTGCCCTCACTCTACGTTGTTCTTAGTATTTTCTTAGTAAATTTATGTTTTCTTGCAGTTTCTGTCTAACTGTGTAGTCGGGGCTTCCCTTGAAGAAATTACAGAAGAAGAGGAAGAAGAAGATGAAAATAAATCAACCATGCTGGAAGCTGCATCAGCCAAACTGAAGGAAGGCACCTTCCAGATTGTGGGCACGCTCTCCAAGCTCGAAAGCGTCCGGCCCGACTTTGCCGTGGAGACATACAGTGTAAGTCCGGGTGGCTTTTGCTAAGAATAGACCAAGGGCAGAGTCACCTCGAGCTCCAACACCTTCACAGTGCGCTCTTCTTCTTCTTCTTCTTTTTTTTTTTTTAAGACTTTATTTATTTATTTGACAGAGAGAGAGAGACAGTGAGAGAGGGAACACAAGCAGGGGGAGTGAGAGAGGGAGAAGCAGGCTTCCCGCTGAGCAGGGTGCCCGATAAGGGACTCGATCCCAGAATCCTGGGATCATGACCCGAGCCGAAGGCAGACACCCAACCGACTGAGCCACCCAGGCGTCCCACAGTGCGCTCTTATTCTTTGCTTCTCCTTCTCCTGCAAACATGGACAGGGAGAAGGTGAGGGGCAGGTCGAGGCAGGTCTTTCTCCTCTGATAGAGAACAATCATTGTCTCCACTTTAAATGTGCCTTGCCTGGAGCAAAGAATTTAAATTAGATTTTCTTAGAAGGGATGGATCTAATCTGTATTTCAGACTCATAAAATTTCTAAACTTTGGGCACCTGGGTGGCTCAGTCGGTTAAGCGTCCAACTCTTGATTTCGGCTTGGGTCATGATTCAGGGTAGTGAGATCGAGCCCCACGTTGGGCTCTGTGCTGTGTGCAGAGCCTGCTTAAGATTCTCTCTCTCCCTCTCCCTTGGCACCCCCCCTAAAAATTTTTTTTCTAAGCTGTGTTTAAAATGCATTCTACCCTCCATTCCCCAACAACCCTGGGCCATGGTGGGTGCTCACCTCTGTGAAAGAGAAACCTCCTTTGGAAATAAGCCACTCAGTAATAACATATCATTATGTTGCTGTCTTAATGAGAAACAGTGCTTCTGTTGTGGAAAACCCACCTGTGTGCTCTGGAGCTGAAATATAACACGAAGACAGAGTTTGGGGGTAAAGACGAATGACAGTTTTAATACTTTGCCCAGCAAAGGAGGCTGCAGCAGGCTAATGCCTTCACAACTGCAGACCCTTCCAGTTAAAAAATGGGCAGAAGACGGAATAGACATTTTTCCGAAGACGGCATACAGATGGCTAACAGACACATGAAAAGATGCTGAACTTTGCTCATCATCAGGGCAATACAGATCAAAACCACAATGAGATACCCTCTCACACCTGTCAGAATGGCTAAAACGAACAACTCAGGAAACAACAGATGTTGGAGAGGATGGGGAGAAAGGGGAGCCCTCTTACACTGTTGGTAGGAATGCAAAGTGGCGCAGCCACTGTGGAAAACAGTATGGAGGTTCCTCAAAAAGTCAAAAATAGAGCTATGCCATGACCCAGCAATTGCACTACTGGGTATTTACCCCAAAGATACAAATGTAGGGATCCGAAGGGGTACGTGCACCCCAATGTTTATAGCAGCAATGTCCACATTAGCCAAACTGTGGAAAGAGCCAAGATGTCCATCGACAGATGAATGGATAAAGAAGATGTGGTATATATATACAATGGAATATTACTCAGCCATCAGAAAGGAAGAATACCTACCATTTACATTGACGTGGAGGGAACCGGAGGGTATTATGCTGAGTGAAACAAGTCAGTCATAGACAAATACCAAGTGATTTCACACATAGGCGGAATTTAGGAAACAAAACAGATGACTATATGGCAAGAAAAAAAAAAAGAGAGGGAAGCAAACCGTAAGAGACTCTCAACAATAGAGAACAAACTGAGGGTCGCTAAAGAGGAAGTGGGTCGGGAGTTGGGCTAGATGGGTGATGGTATCAAGGAGAGCGCTTGTTAGGATTAGCCCTGGGTATTATGTGTAAGTGATGAATCACTAAGTTCAACAAATGAAATTAATATTACACTGTATGTTAACTAAGTGGAATTTAAATAAAAACTTGGAAAAAACAAAACAAAAGACCAAACACTGCAGACTCACCCCGGGGGAAAAGGCTGAGAGGTTTTCCAAGAAAATACAGGATCCGAGTGGTTTCGCGTAGAATCCATTTGGTGCTGTCATCCTTGCCCTTCCCGTCTTCAGGGTGGTCTCCTGCCTGGCCCCGCCCGGCCATCCGGCCATCCGCGTCTCCGTTACTAAGGATACACTGAGGTCCCCGGGATGTCAATATCGATGTCCAGTTCCTGGAACAAAGGATTCTACAGAAAAGCAAGTGAGGGGGGAGGGGGAGGCTTCAAGAATGAAGAAGAGAAAAATGTGTTCAGTTTAAAGTCAAGCCTTGCTGAAGCCCTAGCGTGCCCATCTTAATTTCCGCGCATCTTTACGTTTCTCTAGCGGGTTCACTGCTTCCCCGGTGACACATGCTACCCAATCCTCACCCTGCGACATTTGCACACCTCCGAGAGGGACATCCCTCTCATCACCCTGCCTGCCGCTCTTCAGACCCTACCGTACAGCTTTGCACACACCGCACCCTGCAACAGCCTTTCCTCTTCCAACCCCACGCAGTCCTAGTCATCCATCAGGATTTGACTCAGGATGTCACCTCCTCTAGGAAGCCCTCAGTGATTTCTACTTCTACACTCCCTGTTTCAATACTGAGCTCTTTTCTTTGACTCCCACAGCACCTTTACCTGCCTACATCATCACACCTGTCACACTTCATGGTTATTGTCTGTCTCTTGTGGGTGGCCTGGACTACAACTATCAGCCCCTTGAGAAAAGACACCACACCTGACTTTTTCTCCTGCTCATCTGTGCATCTTTGGCCCCGAGCACATCGACTGGCAGAAAGTAGCCCTCAGTAAAACACTTGTGAGGGCGCCTGGGTGGCTCAGTTGGTTAAGTGACTGCCTTCGGCTCAGGTCATGATCCTAGAGTCCCGGGATCGAGTCCTGCATCGGGCTCCCTGCTCAGCAGGTAGTCTGCTTCTCCCTCTGACCCTCCCCCCTCTCATGTACTCTCTCTCTCTCTAAATAAATAATAAATAAATCTTTTTTAAAAATAAATAAATAAATAAATAAAACACTTGTGAAATGAATGAACAAGTCCCCTCCCGCCATCCGAGGAAACTTTCTCCACCACTTACCTGCTTTCACACTCTCCAGGGGCTTTGCCCATTACTGGCTTCTTTCTTTCCGCCTATCCACGCGCTCCATGCTCACATCTTTCCAAGTGTCGAAAACACTGCATGTGGCCTCCCTGCTGGCTACCCCCCGGTCCCGGGCCACCACTGCCACGTTCGCCGGCCTCACTCCTGCCCTCCCGGCCACTTGGGAGTCCCGTGCCAGCAGACTCTGCCCCCACCACGTCACAGGAAATGCCCTGGCCAGTGTCACCACAGAGCTCCTAATTCCCAAAGTCCTGTCTTCCCTGGCTTCCCAGCGGAAAGTCTTCTTCCCCCTTCTGCAGCCTCCACAGCCTCACTTCTCTTGTGCATCTGAGGCTCCCTTTAAATGCTGTTTTCCCCAGAGCCCCCTCCTTTCTCTTAATGGATGTCCTTCCTCAATCTTATCCAGTCCTATGGCTTGAGCTCCCCCACAGGAGCTAATGCCTTTCAAATCTGTCGCCAACCCTGTTGACCTCCAAATCCAGCTGCCCTCTAGTGCGTCCCCCCCAGAAGTCCTGCCGGCACTTCTGAATCAATATGCCCCAAATTAAATTTATCACACTCCTCTGCAAAACACCTCTGCCTTTTAGATGCCTCATTTTTATTAAGGACCTTGCTCTCTCTATCACTTTGGGCTGTTTGGGGGCTGCAAGCGCTAGGGAAATGTGGCAACACAAACTGGCTTTGCAAATAAGGAAATTCTTCAGTTTATGAGGCTGGTGGTCTCAAGGAAGATGCAGTTTCAGGGCTGGCGTGATCCAGGGGCTGCTGCTGCTTTTCCTGCCCCTTCCTGGGCTCTGCCTCCCCATAAGGGTGACTTCAGTCTCAGGCTGGCAGCCAGACAGCAACAGTCCCGAGCCTTATAATCACAAACAGCAACATTTGTAGCCTCCAGACTGTGGAACATGAATTTCTGTTGTTTAAGCCATACAGTTTGTGACAGTAAGTGACAGCCCTCGGAAATGACTATAGCTGGACGCCAAAGGCCGTAGGGAACCGGGCTGGGGAAACTGGCCGTCTGCACGGTTGGGTTTAACAGGGATGCATTAACCCTGCCAGGGTAGTCCTCTCTATATGGATAGGCACTCACTTTGCTTTTGTTCTTTAACCAAGTTACGTGGTAAGAGATCAGGTCTGACCTGAAACGTTCTGCTTTAATGCAACTGGTCAAGGAACTGTGGGGAGTATCTGCCCCTCAGGATATCTGGACTAACAGCGAATGCAAATCCTGATTTGGAAATGCAGGGTCCTCTGATGGTTATCATAATACCCGCCCCAGGTAGAGCACTCCTAGGAAACCTGCCGACATCCACACAGGAAGGAATAACTATTTAAAACAAGACGATCACCAAAGTTACTTTTGTCTAATGTAAGAATTTTATATTTTTACCCATTAAAAGTTTCTGTATTTTTAAAATATTCCCAACTGTCAACTGTAATAAGGCACCCTACATCTACAAAGAGGACCGATTAATTCCATCTTGAGGATTCTGAAACAATCTACCTTAATCACTCATCAGCCCTTGTGAGTGATTCACGATATATAATGGCTCGAATAATCTTGCGCAGAGCTGGAGTTAGTTTCGAATGCCTCACACATTTTCTTTCAGTGTGTTGTAATTCTTCCCTTCTGAATTGGGGTTTAAACAGCATGCAGAAATAGTACCTAAGATCATTATGCAATTTTTTAATCATCTGTTCCCAGCTATTTCCATAAACTTATTTGTTACTTGGAAACTACACACAGAAGAGAGCCAAAATTTCATTTTAAATAGAAATCCTGCAAATGTTTCCTGTAGGACACTTCATCTGCAGTATATCTCATTTGGAAACTGTCATTCCAGCTAAATATTAAGGTTAGCTGCTCACAACAAATGACTGTCAACTCTCTTTTTCAGACCATCTCTAGAGGAGACCTTCTCATGCGCCTCCTGGAGTGTGACGTCATCATTTATAACATCACTGAGAACCCACAGCAAGCAGAAGAGGCCATCTGGGCAGTCTCTGGTCAGTGAATCACTCTCTTTCTCCAAAAGTGGCACTTTTGTGCAACTTCCTTACCCTTAGAACCATCTAATGACCGCGAGGCAAATTACTGCCAGGGGGAAACCGATCTGATATGGAAGATGAAAGGTGAAATGAAATCAGGCTAATGAAAATGCCTTTGGATCGTGTTAAAGATAAGCTGAGGCCTAGGAAAATCTTCAGGAGTTTATCTGAGCAAAAACGGATTCACGAGAGCTCGCCACGTTGGAAATGGTTAGGAGCACCCACCAACAGGAGCCAGGGGCAGGTCCTACAGAGCAAAGCAAGGACATTATTTGATTGGCTATGGCTGAAGCATTTGCCCGACCTGGAAGGGCCTAGTCACTGTCGTGATTGGTGGTCCTTAGGTTTTGATTTTCTAACCTTGCGGCATTTACAGACCTAGGTTTTGGTTTGCTTATGGGAACTGCTATGGCCTTAGAGCCACCTGAGACTTAATGGCTCCCTTGTTGAATTCATTAAAAAAATGCGTGCTCCCGCAGAATAGAATGTTTTTTTAAAAGATTTTATTTATTTATTTGACAGAGCCAGAGAGGGAACACAAGCAGGGGGAGCAGCAGAGGGAGAGGGAGAAGCAGACTCCCTGCTGAGCAGGGAGCCCGATGCGGGGCTCGATCCCAGGATACTGGGATCATGACCTGAGCCGAAGGCAGACGCTTAAGGACTGAGCTACCCAGGCGCCCCAGAATAGAATATTTTTAATCGTGAAAAGAAACGGTAACTTTCAAAATTCAGCCTGTATTCATACTACAGGCACTGCTTAAGGAGATGGGGTTGAGTGCGTTGGGAAGATACAAAGACAAATGAGACAGAGATTATACCCCAAGGTCCCTGCGGTCCCACGGAAGAGCTGAAGCACACACGAGGAACGTTAATGCAGGGCAGAGGATGGCAGGTTCACAAGAAGGGTATCAAGAAATGGATGTGCCTGTAAGAGGGGAGGACTGATTTTTGTGAGGGTTTGATTCAATTCAACAAGTGTGACATCAGCGAGGGCTCGGGGAGAATGCTTGCATGTTTGGAATGCTTTCAAAACTGTAATGAACTCTAAGGACTGCAGGTCTAAGAGAACAGGGTGATGTTTAGCAATTTGGGGCTGTTACGATTCATCTCTCAAGTTGGGAGAAAAGGAGAAAGCTTATCAGCTTATCTGAATCACCATCCTAGACTAGCAGGACAGCCAAAAAGACACAGAGCGCCTTACATTTCGATATTTTTTTCACATCAGTATTTTTGTTTCAGGCAGATTAGAACAGAGGTCAACAAATTTTCTGTAAAGGGCCGAAGAGTAAATATTGTTGGCTATTCGCGCCAACTACTGTGCTGTTGTAGCAAGAACGTAGCCATACACAATATGTAAATGATGGGCTAGGTTCCAATAAAACTTTATTTATAAAAAGAGGCACTACTTTGCCAACCGTTGAATAAAATCAACAGCAAAGCAGTATTTTGGCTTAAATTCAAAGAAATGGAATGCAGCCTCAGGAATGCCTGTACCATATACTCAGAGAAATGATGGAAAAGTACTGTGTGTTGGATGTGTGGGATTCCTCAGGAGTTTAGAATGTTTGATTTCTCTTTTATAACTTTGTGCCTACATTTCATCCAGTGAGAAACAAATCAAAAACATGAACATTGTATCATCTTTTGAAGCAAAGCTTTTTTGAAAAGCCAACTTTCTGCATTTTGTCCCTTTGCAAATATTTACAGATGATGTATAATTGCACCTTCTAAAATAATTGCACCATTTAAAATCGTAATCAGAGCTTACATTTACTGAGTTCTTATTTTGTCAGGCTTTGAAAATTGATGTTTCTATATAATATATACTTGCAACGTTTAAACATTTTTTTCTGAAATAACCACTGGGACATGTTTTTAAAATTAAAAAGCACAGTAGGGCTGGGGCACCTGGGTGGCACAGTCAGTTAAGCATCTGAGTCTTAATTTCAGCTCAGGTGTGATCTCAGGGTTGGGAGATCGAGCCCCGCATCGGGCTTACACACAGGGCAGAGTCGGCTTCAGATTCTCCCTCTCCCTCTGCCCCTCCCACTCATGCTCGCTCTCTCTCTTTTTTTAAAGATTTTATTTATTTGACAGAGAGAGAGAGCGAGCACAAGTAGGCAGAGCGGCTGGCAGAGGCAGAGGGAGACGCAGACTCCCTGCTGAGCAGGGAGCCCGATGTGGCACTCGATCCCAGGACCCTGGGATCATGACCTGAGCCGAAGGCAGACGTTTAACCGACTGAGCCACCCAGGCGCCCTTTTTTTTTTCTTTTTTAAGATTTTATTTATTTATTCATAAGAGACAGAGAGACAGGCAGAGGGAGAAGCAGGCTTCCCGCTGAGCAGGGAGCCCGATGCGGGGCTCGATCCCAGGACTCAGGGATCATGACCTGAGCCGAAGGCAGACGCTTAACGACTGAACCACCCAGGCGCCCTTGTGCTCTGTATTTCTCTCTCTCTAAAATAAGTAAATAAATCTTTAAATAAAATAAAATAAAAAGCACAGTAGAGCTTAGAATAAAAAGCTACGATTCCTTGCATTTCCCTCCCTCTCCCTCCCTGCGCCCCAAAAGGAACCTCATTTAACCCACTTGTACCTTTTAATGCATAAATAATGCCTGCACGGATGTCCTTTGATTATGGATTTTAGACCTTAGCCACTGCCCTCCTGCTGTGACAGATGAGCTGCAGCTCCTCCTAGGAGCCCCCACTGCCCCTCGGGGGAACATAATGCTTTCCCAGACTTTGACACAGCATCTCCCTTCATGAGCTTTAATATGGAGTGGGTTTTACTGCCTTCCTTCTTCATTCTAATGAAGAGCTTTAAATAACTAAGAAAATTTTTCCTATTTGGGGGAAAGGTTTTAACTGTCTTACCTCATTTTGGAAAAACAGAGTGTTTGTGTCTGCAAGAAAGTAATAGTCAGAGGCCTTCAGCCTGCCATCAGGGTCGCCTGGGGGTGGGGTGGACGTGGGCCTGGTGGGACTTCAAGCATTTTGTCCTAGGGGCACCTGGGTGGCTCAGTCGGTTGAGCGTCTGCCTTCGGCTCAGGTCATGATCCCAGGGTCCTGGGACCGAGCCCCACATTGGGCTCCGTGATCAGCGAGGAGCCTGCTTCTCCCTCTCTCACTCCCCCTGCTTGTGCTCTGTCTCTCTAATAAATAAATAAAATCTTTAAAAAAAAAAAAAAGAATTTTGTCCTTTTACTTGATGTGCACAAGTTTAGATTTGGGGTTTGGTTTTTGTTTGGGGCTTTTTTTGTATGTTTGTTTGTTGTGGGGTTTTTTTTAAGATCTTTATTTATTTGAGATAGAGATAGAGTGAGAGAGAGAGAACACAAGCAGTGCAGGGTGAGGGGGCAGAGGGAGAGAGAGAAGCAGGCTCTCCACTGAGCAGGGAGCCCGACACGGAGCTGGGGGTTCGATCTCAGGACCCTGGGATCACAACCTGAGCTGAAGGCAGACGCTTAAGGACTGAGCCACCAGCGTTTTTTGTTTTTTGTTTTGCAAAGGATCTATGTCTTACTTCTTAATAATGTGTTATTAAGTAATTTTAAAATGTTTTTAATTGAAAAGGATTCTCCTACCTTGCTTTTCACAGATACTCTCCAAGGAAGACAAGATGACACAAGAGAAAGGAAGCAAGTGTTAGGATTAAGAGAAGCCATTTGCATATAAGGATAAAATGTGCTTGTTCCGAGTGAACAAGGAGATTATTTTAGACCCATTAAAATTATCACAAATGAAAGGATAACCCACTTTGAGGATCTCTAAGTGGGCCAAACAGTCACAAACGAGGCCAGTCTGAAGCATAGTAGAGCCAAAAGGGCAAAAGAGCGAAATGAAATTGAAGAAGCCATTTTTGTTAGTAGAATGAAAATGGAACTAAAATTAGCACTTGAGTCGGAGATTAATACATGGACATCGTGTTCTCAGACTTAATTCAGTAATGCTTTCTCACCTTAGGGCCGGACTCCACACGTTCACTGGATTCAGGGTATCAGCCTTTTATTGTTTTGCTTCTTTAGGGAATCAGCTCCTGAGACTAAAAATGTACCATGACAACCGTGTCACTTAGCTCCTCTGACAATTTAATTAGACCTCCCTTTAGATTTTTTTTCCTCTGGAAAATTATATGTCATGCAAAATATTTTAATGGGATCACATGCCGAAAGTATTTAAGGAGATTTAATGCTTCAGTGTGTGGAGAGCCCACCCCCTCCTCCCCTAGAGGTGACAAACCCTTTAGAAATCCAATGTTCATCCTTCCATCCACCACTGTTCTCAATTCCGATCCCTACAGAATGTTCATAATCAGCCATTCCTGCTGTACCCAAGCCCTCCGGCCACGGCCCACGGCGACCACAGCATGGGCTGCCCGCCCCCCAGGCCAGGGGGAATGTGAAACCCCCCAAATTACTTCCTTCCACAGTGGCGCAAGCTACACAGGACTGCTTTAGGTGAAACCGTCAGGGGGTCTTACCTTCAGATTTGGGGCCTTTGTGGCCCCAGCCCCAACCTTGCTAGGGCCCCCTGCTCCATTCCACATGCAGCATAGTGGGGAGAGCACGGCCTTTGCAACCAGGCTGCTGGGATCGGACTGTGCCCCCCCCACCTCTCCTCCATACCTCTGGGCAAACTGCACCCCAGTTCCCTGATCTGCAAAACAGAAATAATAGTAGTACCTGTGTCATAACGGTAAGGATGAAGGAAGGGGTGTCAAGTGTTCTAGTCCATGCCAGCGAGCATCAGTACTCCCACTGGCCACCCCCAAAAGTGAAATCACACTGCTACAACCCAGGAGGCAGGAAAGAGGGTTAA